CTCAATATCTGGACCATATTCATCAGCATTTGGGGTTTTTTCCCAAAAGGTACTTTTGGTGGTTCAACTATTCGAAGTTCATATCTGGCAAGGTTCTGCTCCATCAGGGCCAGGTACATTCCCCTTATGTCAGTCCAGCAGTCCTGGAACCTTGCCATGGAAGCTGTCCCAGAAGTCAAGATCTTGGAGTTTGAGGTCTACTTTTAGGGAGAGAAGGCACAGAGCAAGAGTAGAGGATATACCAAACTCAGTCTTGAATAAGGTTCAAAAGGAAATGTATTTATAGCTCCCCAGTTTTGAAATTTTAAAAAGAGGTACTTTGTATAAAATGAGTTCTCAAAGTGGATTTTATAAAGCTTTAATGCTAAAGAGCTTTTGCTTTTTAAAAATCCCACATAAGCTGGAACAGTGGCACATGCCTGTAAACCCAGCTACTTGGGAGGCTGAGGCAGGAGGATCTCAAGTTTGAAGCTATCCTCAGCAACTCACTGAGATCCTCAACAATAAGACCCTGTCTCAAAATTAAAAAGGGGGGCTGGGGTTGTGGCTCAGCGGTAGAGTGCTTGCCTAGCACATGTGAGGCACTGGGTTCGATACTCAGCACCACATATAAGCAAATAAATAAAGGTCAATCAACAATTAAAAAATTTAAAAAAATAAAAATAAAAAATAAATTTAAAAAGGGGGCTGAGTATTTGGCTCTATGGTAAGACACCCTTGGGTTCAATCCCCAGTGCTGCCAAAATTTTTTAAAATCCCACATATATATTGTGAGTTACTTTTATGTGTCAAGTTGGTTGGTCCATGGTACCCAGATATTTGGTCAAACATTGTTCTAGATGTTTCTGTGAAGGTACTTTTACGATGCGATCAGTATCTTAATCAGTAGACTTTGAAAAATGTATGTGGGAGAAACATGTCTAATCAGTTGAAAAATAATGGAAAAATACTTACCTTCTCCTCAGAAGAAAATCTGTCAACAAATAGCCTTTGGACTTAACTGTAACATGGGCTCTTCCCTGGGTTTCCAGTCTGCCAGCCTCCCCTGCAGATTTCAGAGATACCAATCTCCATAATCACATGAGCCAATCTTTTAAAATTAATCTCTACACAGTCACATGTGTGGGTGTGTGTACATGCATACATGCACACAAACATCCTATCCATATGTTTCTCTGTCAAACCCTAACTCATACATATGTGATGACAAATATTTAATTAAGGTGAATACAATGGACTGTGAATTCATATAAATCTGGGTTTTGAATTCTGCCCTTGCCATGTTGTTTAGCCTAATGATGTTGGGCTTCCATTTCCTCCTCTGCTAAAATGGGTACAATAATCTGAACCTCTTAGAGCTGTACACAGATTAAAGGAAATCATTATACAAAGCACTTAGCACAGTGCTTATTATAAAGAACTCAATAAGTACTCAATGAGTTAATATTGACATTGATAATATGCCATTTAGAATAAAAAATATTTTTTTCCAAACTTGTTACACAGGACAAGTTCAGGGATTGCCACTCTTTTTCTTGTTTTCCATAACTCTTTGAAATGTGATTTTTAACACCACACCCATCTTGAATTGTGTATTTTTTAAATATTCCTGCAGAATAGCAACTAACAATTGCAACTTACTTGAGCTTCTGTAATTTGCAACCTGGATCTTTTAAGCCTTCACAGAGCAATTTCAAAGCTGAAGCTTCCAGCTTTGTTTCACTAAATTCCAGCTCAGTTAGCCACTGACTGGTGCTAAGAACAGCAGCAAGTGACCCACAAGATGCAGGAGAGATAAGGCATGGGTGATAAAACCTTTAGAGAGGGCTGAGGTTGTGGCTCAGCGGTAGAGCACTTGCCTTGCATGTGCAATGCCCTGGGTTTGATCCTCAGCACCACATAAAAATGAATAAATAAAATAAAGGCATTGTGTCCAACTACAACTAAAAAATAATATTTAAAAAAAACCTTTCGAGAACAGAAAAGTAGCTTCATTACCTAATTTATGCTCTCATCCTGCCCCCAAATAGAAAGTGACCAAAAAATGGAATGCACACAAACAACATATTATCCTGCTACCAGTTACCTCAATGTCTGTAATGTACAATTTGGCTATTTCAATCCTTCACACAGAAGCTTCATTCCTGAATCTTCCAGGGTATTTTTTACAAACTCCAAATCTGTCAGACACTGGTTGGTTTCAAATACTGAGGAGAGGTCCCTACCACAAGAGCTGTGAGGTGGCAGAAAATCGGTGTATATGAAGAAAAAGATATCACAAGGAAAAAAAAAAAAACATGGTTCTTTTAAAAGTATTCTTTGCACATTCAATTTATTTAATGAATAATGTATTGAATGCTTACTACTATGTGAGATGTTCAAAACAAGACATATTTAAGACAAACTATACCCTCAAGTAATGCCCAGTTAATGGGGAAAAAGATTTAAAAATATTAGGTTATAATACAGTGTGAAAAGTACTGCAAGAGGTATACAAAACATATTATCACATATTATCAGGACATAAAAATGTTGCACAATTCAGCCTAGCTCAGAAGGGGGTTTGGAGAATCAAGGAATATTTATAAGAGGGAGAAATGCTTGAGTGCTTGTGTAAGAGGAATGGAAACTGAATAGGAACTAGGTAGATAAGAACAGGAATGGAAAGAGTGTCAGAGGGGCTGAGGGCCAACCACATAAAGAATAGCCTGTGCAAAAGCAAGGAAGCAAGAGAAAATATACTGAGGCCTCCTTTAAGAAACTGAAAATTATTTGCTATTGCCTATTTTAAAAGGCTGGAAAGACGTGTATCAAGAATTAAAATGGGTTTCTCCCAGGATAGGGGGAGGGTGGAATTATAGGAAGATATGTGCTTTTCAGGTACTTACAAATTATTTGTCATGATCAGACATTATTGGGGAAAAGGTTTTCAAAAAGTTTGAAAAAAATCTTGCTTATTCTAGAAAACAACTTTGGTACTTGGCATAGAACTCAGGGGTACTTTATCACATCCTCAGCCCTTTTTATTTTCAGACAAGGTCTCCCTAAGTTGCTGAGGCTGGCCTTGACCTTATGATCCTCCTGCCTTAGCCTCTCAAGTCACTAGAATTAAAGGCATGCACCACTGTGCCTGGCTTATTATAAAAAATCTTTATAATAGAGAAAAATATAAAGTTGTTTTTTTTTTTTAAAGGGGATATTGCTCAGGGGTACAGTGCTTGCCTAGCAGATGGAAGGCCACACACACAAACACACTCCCATATATCCATACCCACAGTCTATATTTCCAGCACCCAAAGAACCATTATTAAAATGCTGTCATATAACTTTCCATATTAAAATATATATATATATATATATATATATATATATATATATATACACACACACACACACATATACACACACACATGTAATTACATGTTTATAACACATTATATCACAGAAAGATATATTTTAAAAGTTAAAAATTTTTTCTAACCTTCCATCCAACTCCACCTTCCAGAGATAACTATGGTAAGAGTGTGGTGCCACCCTTTCCCACTCCAATTATCTGATTATAGAAATACATGAATATATACTAGATTACATATGTATGAGAATATATGAGATTTATTTCTACATTTTTTAAAAATGGGATCACACAAACCATTACTTCTTCAACTTTACATGTACTTTCAACATTTTGTCCTCATCCTGGGCCCATAGGTAGAAACTGAGATTCAAGATGATAAAAATGGCAAAAAAAGTGGGACTCAACCTAGGATCTCTTTAGTTTATCCTATAAGCCTCAGAAAGTCATTGAAAGTTTTGAGAGACAGGATCACATCGCACTGATGACGGTTAGATCGGGTCAGTATCTGATGTCAGAGAGCTGCAGTGGTTGAGGGAAGAAATGAGGGGGGCTAAACTAGTATCGGGGATGGGGGTGAACAGATTCAGGGCACATTTTGAGGATGGAAATAGCCACTGTTTATTACCAAAGTTACTGCAGTGTCCCGTTGGGCGGGCGTTGGGGGATGGGCTGTTTCCTGGCTTCTCCTCTTCCTTGGGGCTACCGGAAGCCACAGAGGTGTTGGAGTTACTTCCTGTTCTAGAATATTCCAAGTATTGGAGGGGGCTCACCAGGCGTGGAACAAACCATCATGGTGGGGTGGGACCTTTTGGACTTACTTCTGAGAGCTTCATTTTCTTCATTCTGGGTCTTTTCTAACCAGTCCCGTTTCTTCCCGCCTTCGATGGCTTTCAGCCATGTGGTGGGTTCCCTTAGGAGCCCAAGAGGGGGCGGGACCTTCGGCTCTCCCTCCTCGGCACCCCCGCAGTCTCTGGGAGTTGGAACAGTCCTAGAGTAAAAGCCTAGAGATTTGGCCGCGTGGCTCCCTTTTCCCAGAGCCCTCGAAGGGAGAGGGACCCCTTTCTGCCTGGGAGAGGGCTGTGGTAGCCCTGTATCTACTCTGGTGAGCCCGGTGGGAAGCGTTCTATGAGGGGACTGAGGCAGAGGCGGCTCTTTATGAGTGGGTGGGACAGAGAAGCGAGGGGTGGGACAGAGAAGAGAGGGGTGGGGAGCGAAGGAAAGGGGAGGAGAGTAAAGGCGAAGGGAGGGGCTAAGGGTGGGGGAGGGGAGTGAAGGCACGGGGTAAGGCTATGGGCGATGCGGGTGGTGGGAAGGGTGAGGGGAGAGATGTTAAGGGCCATGGCGATGTGAGTACGGGTGGGGAGCTAAGGGCAACTAGAGTGGGAGGCTACAGGTGATGCAGGGGTGGGCATGGGGACTAAGGGCAATAGGGTAGGGATGGGGATGGAGGACTAGGGGTGAGGGAGAAGGCTAAAGGTGAAGAACACAACAAATGTTTGATCCGCGGTTTGGCATTTAGCTCAGCTGCATGTACAAAGCCCTGGGTTTGATCCCCAGCACACACAATAAATAAATAAATAAAAAGGAAAAAAATATGTTTGATCCATCTCCCAGGGACCAGGAAGCCATAAGGTCCTGAAACATCATGGCCTTCAAACCTGACGACCCCTGTAGTGGGTTTCTCCATGGCAAGGTTGTGGCCTACATCAACGAGAAGATGGCCAGGCACGTGAAAGGCCCTGAGTTCTACCTTGAGAATATGTCTTTGTCCTGGGAGGAGGTGGAAGATAAGATCAGAACCATCCTGGAGGACAGCGAGATGTCCAGCCAGGCCCAGGAAGCCTGCGCTTGGAGCAGCCTGGCTCTGGGTGTGCGCTTGGCTCGCAGGCAGGGACATTTACAGGGATGCAGGGTGCAGTGGCTGCACGACTTTGCCAAACTACACAAGTCAGCTGCCCATGCCCTGGCCTCAGACTTGAAGCAGCTTGGAGCACAGCAGGAGATGGAACGCAAGGAGGCTGCCTTGCAGTTGCGGCTGGCCCAGGCCAAACTGGCAGAGGTGCAGAAAGAGCGGGATCTACTGAGGTGGAAGCTTCTCAGGGCGGTAAGATTACCCCACCATCCTTGCCCCACCCCCCACCCCAATAGTAGGTCTGCCCCCTGATTTTCCCACAGAACATATTCCAGCCCTGCCCACTTATCCCCAGGAGCTGAGGGCCCTCCCAGCCCAGGCTGTAGAGGGGCCAGGCTTGGCCACTGCCAGAGGGGCAGGGACCGAAGTAACAGGTGAGATGGAAGAAGCAACAGCTGCTGCAGATGATGCTACAGGAGGAGGAGGAAGAAGAGAGGAGAGTGATGCAGTGGGAGCCGCCCCCATGGAGGCAGAACAGGAGATGGGTGGGAGCTTCCTGCAGCTTCTCGGAACTACTGAGCCAAAAAATTACACCTCTGGTGGGCAGAGGGAGGGAGAACACAGATCCATGGAAAATACCGTGTTTTCTCTTGCTGGGACCCTGAATCCTGGGTCCATAGCCTCATCAGAACCCCTCCCTGTTCAGCTCCCTGCCTCATTCTCTTACTCATATTCATCCCCTTTGTCCCCCTTCCCAGCCTCACCCTCACCCTCACCCTCACCCTCATCATCTCCACCAACAGGCATGGTCACAGCACCTGCTCCACCTCAGATGCTTCCCCACAGCTCAGCCTTTGATGTTAGCCTGTGGTGGTCTGATATGGAGGCCCAGGGATTAGACCCTCCAGAAACCCTTAATAGGAAAGACTTTGAATCCCATCAGCAGAGAAAACCTCCGGTTTTTCGCTGGCCTGGGGATTGGGACTGCCCTTGGTGTAAAGCTGTGAATTTTTCACGAAGGGAAAGTTGCTTCCGCTGTGGGAGGGGAATCTGGCTGCAAAGCCCTTAGTGAATTCAGAAATATGAAATAGAACCGAAACATATCCCAGTGGGAAATCAATTTTCAGAGGTGGGTGGGAGTTGGGGGTTAGGGGTGGGAGGGAGGTAAGGGATGAGAGATGGGGAGAGTGTAGGTGGTGGAGGGAAAGATATGCTTTGATTACCCCCCCTTTTGTAGTATTGGGGATTGAGTCCAGGGATGCTGTACCATCAAGCTACATCCCCAGTCCTTTTTTTTAAAAAAAAAAAAAAGATATATATAGAGAGAATTTTTTTTAATATTTATTTTTTAGTTTTCGGCGGACACAATATCTTTGTATGTGGTGCTGAGGATCAAACCCGGGCCTCACGCATGCCAGGCGAGCGTGCTACCGCTTGAGCCACATCCCTAGCCCCCCCAGTCCTTTTAATTTTTTTTTATTTTTTTATTTTGAGACAAGATCTCACTAAGTGGTGCAGGCTGGCCTCAAACTTGGAATCTGTCTGCCTCAGCCTCCAAGTAGCTGGTATTAAAGGCATATGCCACCATGCCAGGTCAGATTACACCTCTTGTATTACAGAGCATTATCATTCAACACTAGAATTACTGAAGCTTCTGTATGTGTGTGTACATACATATATCTATATCTATCGATCTATAGATTTATAGATTTATCTATAGATCAACAGAGATAGATCTATGTCTGTCTGTTTCCCCATCCTAGTGTCTGGTGGGCCTGGAAATCCATGTATATAAAAGGACATCCTCTGCCCACCTAGTCCTTATGATGGTTTAAATAGGACTGGTCATTTGACTCTTATCCTGAGCCACACAGATTCCCAGGCTAGATCATCAGCACTGAGAGGTAGATGCCATAGTCATGGTGGAGTTGGTCAATGTAGCAGTGAGTAATTTTGCTGAGGCCTGGGTCATAGCCACAAACACCAAGGCCTGGCCCTGAAAACGGGAGCAAAACTGAGTGCTTTACAGAGGTATCTTTTAGAGGACACCAGCATGAGTTTCCAGGGTACAGACAGGCATAGACGAGTTGATCCAGTAACTCTAGAGAGCTGGAGAGAGTGGCTATGATGCAATTCCTTTCACATCTTGCAATTATGCTACATGAGGATCCACTTTACCCAGATATTCTTTTATTTTTTTAAACATTTTTTATAACTTTATTTTATTTACTTACTTATTTTTATGTGGTTCTGAGGATCGAACCCAGTGCCTCACACGAGTGTGAGTGTGCTACCACTGAGCCACAACCCCAGCCCCAGATACCTTTTTCTTTAAGCTAACTTGAATAGGTTCCTATTCTGGAGAGTCAGATTACTTCCCAGTCAGAAACTGGTACTAGCAGAGAAATTTGAAACAAAAAAACATCAAAGAAAATTTTGGGGGGCTGGGGCTGTGGCTCAGTGGTAAAGCACTTGCCTCGCATGTGTGAGGCACTGGGTTCGATCCTCAGCACCACATAGAAATAAATAAAGATACTGTGTGTTCACCTACAACCAAAAAAAAAGAAAATTTTGGAACTGGCTGGGGAGTTCCATCAGGCTTGTCAAGTAATAGGAATTCCTGCATCCCAAAAGTCCCCAGGAGCAAAATGAATAGAATGGCTCATGTTCTAAGGGAGTTAAATAAATAATAAGAAATAATCGGAACAAGTCTGGGGTTAACTCAGGTTTACTTAATTTAATTTTATTTAGTACTGGGGATTCAACACAAGGGTGCTTAACCACTGAGCAACATGCTCAGACGTGTGTGTGTGTGTGTGTGTGTGTGTATGTATATGTATATGTATGTGATATATATATGAATGAAATTTTGAGGCAGGGTCTTGCTGAATTACCAGGGCCCTGCTAAGTTGCTGAGGCTGGGTTGAATGTGCAATGCTCCTGCCTCAGGCTCCTGAGTGGCTGGAATTACAGGCATTCACCATCATGCCCTGCCCCACATTTATTCTTAACACAGCAGAGATTTGCCACCCCAAGGGAATCCCACAGGGCTGCATACAAAGGAAGCCAGCAGCACCAGCTGCCGGCAAGGACTCCTATAACTGCACAGTCTCATGACAGGAGAATCCTCCCCACTCATCAGTAGATGAAACCACAGACAGATCTGAACTCATACCACTGCCAAGGTGAGTCCGAAATTCATAACACTCAGAGGGTATACTCATCTAGACCATTCTCTCCTCCAACCCACCACCATGAAAAATGTGGTAAGGGAATCTGGCTGTAAAGCTCTCAGTGAATTCATAAATGTGAAATAGAACAGAAGAATATCCAATGGGAAATCAACCGCCAGTGGGAGGGGGAGAGGTGGGAGGAAGAGGAGAGTGAGTCAGGGAAGGGGGTAGGTGGGAGGTTGGTCTGCTTTCCCCCCTGGTGACCATAAGCTGTGTTGAAGGGGGCTAAAAGTGTGCTTTAGCCCTCAGGTGGAAGGATGGGGAGGAGGTGTGCAACTGGAACACAATGAGACATGACTGGAGGAGTCCTGGACATCACCTAGGGACTGTGGACCTACATACCAGAAAGCTGCCATGGCTCTGGGACATCCAGCAGAGATGTGACTTTCGGCTTCCTCCTGTTGGGAAGGGTGTAGACAATCACCATCCAAATTGGGGGCCAGCTACTTAAACTGTACATTTCATAAATGTCTTTGTTTTGTTTATATCCCTCTAGACAGTGTTTTCTAACCTCAGTACTCTTGACAGTTACAGTTGGATAATTCATTATTATGGGGGGCTTGCCAGTACACTGTAGGATGTTCAGCAGAATCCTTAGCCTCTATCCACTAGATGACAGTGGTACCTACCCCACTCACTCAGCCATGACAGACAAAAGTGTCTCTAGATATCCACAAAATGTTAAAATCATCCCAGCTGGAGATGGCTGGAGGCAATAAAATAATTAGGAACAGTTTGAATGGGGGATGAATCAAAAGAGAAGGTGTGTAGGGGGTGCTGGTATTACAGCTCAGTGGTAGAACACTCGCCTAGCACATATGGGGCACTAAGTTCAATTCTCAGAACCATATAAAAATAAAATGAAGGTATTGTATCCAACTACAACTAGAAACCAAATTTTTTTAAAAAAGGTCATGTAGGCTGAGGGGCCCGGAGAAACAAAAGCTGAAAATGTCCATTGGACTTGGCATTTACTTTGGATCTTCAAGCAAATTCAGGGGAGTGGCAGGATAGAAGCCAAAGTGCAAGGAGTGAGTGAATGGAAAATGCAGAAGTGGAGTCAGTGAGGGGAATCTGTTTTTAAGGACAAAGTTTGAATGTAACAGGACATGTGGTTGAGAGAGAGTTCTGAATGTTGAGAGAAGCTTGAGTCATAGGGAAGGAGATCACAGAAAGAAGCTTGAAAATGCAAGAAATATGTGAAAGAATGAGGTAGAGTCCACATATTGTATTTGAGGCATAGTTACTGTTCTGTGAAATGAAAAAAACAATTATATAAGTCACTTTTGTGTAAAACAAACCTTCCATAGTTCTGTATCTTTAGGTATGCTGTATATCTTTATAGATTATGTTTGTCTTATGTTACAAATTCCTATTTGTGTGAGGAGAGAAAAGATCTGGAAACACATTAGCAAATAAGATATTACCCTAGAGAGGGTGGTCTCAGGGGTCAGGGAATGGAAGGCAATAGGGTGGGGGCATGGAGGATGGGGTGGAGTATAGGTCAGCTGGATGAAAGGTTTTTATATTGTTTTAAGATTCTGTGATGTGAAAGTAAAATAATGAAATGTTCACAAAAAAAATACAAATAAACTGAATTTACTGGCTTCTTTGGGTTTGGAAAGGCCATTTCTTCCTCTGGGATAGGACAGGAGAAGGACTGCAGAAACTGATCTATGTGGAAAAATAGATATGGAAAATCAAGGAGGCTTGTGCTTATATGCTTGTGATGCAGACAAATATCTGAAAGTGTCCAGGATGGGGGCTTCTTGGGGCACTTTGATGAATAAATGGGGGCAGTGGATTGGGCATGGAGGGAGAGAAAATGATCACCACACTGCAGATCCACAGTAGGACAGGACCCAACTGAAAGACAATTTAGGGGAAGGATCTCAGGGGTCTGGTAGGAAAAGGAAGAGGGGTAGATCCAGAACGAACCACAGACAAATCTCCTAGGTGTTACAACTTGCCACCCACTCATTGCAGTGCATTGTTATGTGCAGAAATAGCACCTACAAAAAAACAGGCATGTGGACAAAGATGTTACTCACACCTTTCTTCTAGGTTTGTAGCATCTTTTTATTTGCTACTCCACTATGGACAAACTGAACACTAGTTATATTTTGTTTTCAGATCCAATAAGCCCACAGTGCAATTTCTGGCAACCCAGTATTTATCTGCAAATACTTCAGAGTTTAAAGTAAAGTTCAACTTACTTCAGATCTTTGATTTTACATTATGGATTACGCAGTGCTTGGCAAAGCAAGTGTAGCTGAGACACTAGGAAACTGTGCATCTAAAAGGACCTACAAGAGATGAGAAAACAAAAATAATTTTAAAACTTTAAGCAAAAAGCTTATTTTGGCTTCTTTTTCTATGCTAGTATTAATTGACTCTTCTAAAACCTTAGAAGGTGTCACCCCATGTTGCAGATTAGGGAATTAGGCACAAAATGTTAAGCAATTTGGTCAAAATCATATAAGTTGACAAAGAACTGAGACCATTAATCGGGTCTTACTCCAAACCCATGCTACTATGTGCCAGGCATCAAGGTTATCTGGCTCTTAACATAATGACTATTATAATCACCATTTTAAAACTTTGTTATATAGTTATACATTACTGTGGGGTTTATTTCAACATATTCATAAATTCATATAATTTGCTCCATGTCAATCCTTAGTGCTTCCATTTTCTCTCCCTCCCACAATCCCTCTCTCTACTTGTTCTCCTTCTATTTATTTATTGGCTTTTAAAATTATAATCACCACTTTGCAGATGTTCTAAGAGATCAAGTGACTTCCCCAAGCTACCTGTACAATATAACTGATTCTTG